TGAGTTGATTTTTAAGAATATTGGCATCAACACAATTGTAGGCATTGGAGACATCATAGGTGCAAAGAATTACTTGCTTTTTGTTACATTTTATAAGCTGTATTTGATGGATTAACTGATTTAAACAAACTGTGGTGGAGTTATTTTTCCTATATGCAAAGGTGGAGTGAGGGAGAATGCTATTCGCTTTAATGAACTCATTTATTCTATTTTTGACGCAAGTGTTTATAGTTTTTAACATAACCGAAATAAGTGAGATTGGTCTGAAATTTTGGTAAAGACTTATTCCTTGCCCTTTTTGGGTATTGGAACAATCTTGATTGTTCGTCAATGGTAGGGGATTTGATTTGTTAAAAAATTGTCATTAATAGCAGTCCTAAAGGAGTTGATTGTCTGATCCGATAGCGCCTTGAGCATACCATATGAAATTCGATCCACTCCCGCAGCTGTGTCTTTCTTTTTGCTCAGCACCTCCTAAATCTCCTCGTAGGTGATCGCCAGCTCATGACATGGCTGAACAGCATTGTTGATCTCCTCATTGGACGGTTGTGCGGCAACCTGCTCCTTCAACATGTCTAAATATAGCTGGTTGTTTTCTTCGTTCCATAGACCCTTATAGCCCGAACACAATGAAAACGACGAGCTACAAACCACAGCTGTCAAATTATTTTAACACGTACTCTTATGTAGATAATTATTTTGGCGACGACCGGGCTACGCGACGGCTGTGGTTGTGGCCAGATTAGATCTANTATTGTTTTTGGTATTAAAGGTCGCCTTATCGATTTCTTCTTGTATTTTGGACTCCAACGCTTGGACATTCGACTCACACTCAACCTCTCTCAAAGCCTCAAGGAGTTTTCGTGTGGTTGTGAACTTCCTTATGTTTTTAGCTATTGCATTCGTTTCCACGATTATAGGGAAGTGGTGACTTCCGCCAATACGCGTTTGGTCCACTGACCATTTGCACCGCATAGTGCTGTTAGTGAAAGTCAAATCAAGCACAGAGCCACCTGTCGATCTTATGTCCCTTTTATAGGTAAGGCTGTCATCATTAAGACTATGAAAAAATGTTTAAGAAGCTGGCTTCAAGGCGACATTGGTCGACAAAATAATGTCGCTGTCTTTACGTCGTGAAGTTGCAGTCGTCAAAGTGTTCCGAGCTTCAGGGCGATATTTTTTAACCAGCCTAAATCAGTTTTCTGCGTGGAGTACGACTAGATAGAAAAATCTCGCTAAGCAAGCAATTTCGATTGCATATTTGTGCAAGTAGAATTCTATAGAATCCAAGTTAGCGCGCAGTGATTGGCAATTATATTGTAATAGCTTCATCATGTATGAATGGATTTAGTGATCCCGTGACCACAGTCTCATCTCTTTTGGCAATAATTGTTTCAAATTGATGTTTAAGGCATTGTATACCTTATACCTTCAAAAAGTTCAGTGTTGTTACTCTGAATAGAAATTCGTTGTTATGTTTATCATCTCAGTTATGAGACGTTCAAACTGTGATACGAGACCTTTTTGGTACTGAGGTGAGTTGTAAAACGGGTTCCCAGGGGCTTTAACCGTCGTCCGTCTAAATGGCTCTCTTACCGGTATAGGAGCTGACATTGTCACACCTCTTTTAGCAGTTTGGCTGTATGTTCTTCTAGTAAAATTCCTATTTATATTGTTTTCCCTATCCACAACCTCAGTATCTTGCGTCGGCAACACAGGAAAAGTCCCATCATCGCATTCTAACATGCTGAACCTATTGTTTCTGGGATACTATTGGTCCAATACTTCCTTCCTAGATAACTTCTTGACTGTCCTGATGCGATCGACCATCTGTTCCTATTCCCAATGTGGGCACAAAATGCAGACATTTGCACTACATGAAGGGTCTTGACATTCACCTTAACCGCACATAACACACCTCTTTTTACCTTTGCATGACAATGTGGTATGAATAAGACGGCCACAGTTGTCGGATTGTCTCAAGGGGGGAATATAAAAGTCAACAGAGAGCTTTGTATAATTGTAAATTATAAATTTGGGAATGTCATCACCAGTGAAACCAATTTTGACCGTAGTTGTCGGCACAATATGAATTACTTATGGTATCTTTCATATTGAAGCGTCTGACAGAACATATCGGAATGGTGGACCTAGCCTCCTTTTTTATGTCATTTTCCTCAAAGCACTCCATAAATTTCTAAGGCCGTTCGGGGTATAAACGGTCTTAAGCATCTTTGGATAATTTTTTAATCATTTATAAAATTGTTGGCCGCAAAGGTATTTTTAAAGGTAACTTTGTATAAGGTTTTGCCAATGGCAGTAATAAGGTCCATGTCTTTGATTCTCAAATCTTTAACTTGGCTGAATAAAGTCAGACCAGTTGAGACTTTTTCGTTTGTCATCTGTGCGTTGGCTGACGCATCAACCAATACAAAGATTTCACCCTTAAAGTGTTGACGGTATAACACTGTGTCAGTTTCGTCTCTTGTACCTTGATTTGGTCTGACTGTACCACAGCCACCTGCGTTTTCGATCCCGTTGCTGTTCCCTGCATCGGTTTCAACAACCATGTCATTATTTTGTTCTACCGTTATTTTTCCACTACACGTTTTTCTTCTTTTTCTTGTAATTTCACTAGCCCTCCACTAGCAGAAAGCTCATAAAAATCCGAACCAGCGTCATCATTGCTGATTCTTTGTCTTTGAGAATTAAGATCTTCAGTTTCATCTTCAATAGACGTCACCGACCATAGAGTCGGCGACGCCAACCTACTCATTTTCTTTAGCGCCCTAAGCGGCCCTTTTTTCTTTATTTTTAACAGGCAACTTAAGATTTTGCCTATTAAACCACTACCACAAAAACAATAAGAAAGTTTTGCCAAGATTACTCACCTAATCCTTATGCTTCCCCAGATTATTTATTAACAAAGACACACGCTTTAATTTAAACAAAAATTTACACTCGCACACAAAAAGCCAAAGACAATTGCACCACAATTGAACGCACTGTACTTAAACGCAGGTATGTATTTCACAAAAACACGCGCACGACCCACGCACGCTCGTCGCCAAAATCCGAATGGAAACTTGACAAAACTGTAAATTCTTTTCGATTTACGCTGCTCCAGTTGAGAGGACTTTCAGTTATGTTTATTTATTTTTATTGCGATGCAATAATTCCGTTTTGAGAAATGCATTGGGGCTGCAAATGTCGGATGTATCCTCGTAAAAATCAAAAATCAACAGACTTTTACATATGTAACACTGTGAGTTAGGTAACCGCTTACACGCAATGTTCATTTAACATATTCCCTATGTGACAGCTGTCATGCAATGCAAAGTATGCATAACTGAGCCTTTAAACTTGCCTAATATTTTTTATTGCGGATAATAAACAAACTGCTTATCCAAATTAAACAAATTTGGTATCATATGAAAGAGGACTGACATAGCTTTTATACAAAAATAACGAACGAAGGTTACCACATCTATTTATATTTTTTTTTTACAAATTAATACAAAATAAATTCATATACATAGCTGACCCAATTTTTTTTCTATGGTAATTAATTAAAATTTTGTATTGAAATATTTTTCAATATGTGGCTTTCCTCGTTTAGACATTTCAGTTTTAAAGCTATTTAAGTCCTCTTTCATTTGATACCAAACTTGTTTAATTTGGATAAGCGGCTTGTTAATTATCCGGAAAAGACTTTTTTTTCGGAATAACAAATATTTGGCCAAGTTTAACTCGTAAAAAATAACTGTAATTTCCGGTCCCTTCTATATTCGCATTCGCAAAAGATCCGAAAGCGAATTCGAATGTTAAAATTAATGCGGAAGCTCCGCGGTTGCATGCGAATGCGAATATTCGACAACAAGCCCTGTGTACATACATGCATACTATATGTCAATTCATTTGATCTTTTTCAACTAAAGATTTTCGCGAAGTATAACAAATCCATCGACAAAACATGTGAAGTCTCTTATCACTATCAAAAAACATGAAAACTATGTGAAATTCGAATTGTATTTTATCAAAGAATGAAAAAGAGTTAACATGTTAACATTAGTATATTTAACAGTAAGAAAACAATTATGTTATTTTGGAGTGATTGGTAATGATTACTGATAACACTACGTAACGAAATTTTATTTGAACGCAATATAGCAGAAGCTGAGTACTAAACAGGTAAAACGTCTAAGTTCGGGCTGAGCCGAGCATTAAATACCCGGTGCAAGTATTCACTATAGTTTTTTCACCTTTACGAAAATTACCGCTACGTGGTAAGCAGGGGTGGTTTTACCCCTATTTCAAACATCTTTGATAGAACGTTCAGTTAGACATAATGAGATGAACTTATGTAGTTATATGTGGAAGGTAACACGCCCATTTTTCAAAATTCCATAAAAGTATTACTTCTTTTCAAGGGATTGTTGTTAGTATCAATTTCGAGTAAATTCGCTTCCTTAAATTTCGAAGTTTCAAGCTTTTTTGAAATTTACCTAAAGTGAGCGTAAATTTATACCGATTTCAATGATTTTCAATTTTTTGTTTTTATGTGGATTGTTCTTTCCGAGTTTGTTGCAAGTTGATCGAACGGTTATCGAGATACACATTATGTGGTCATAAGTGGGCGGGGCCCACGTATTTTTCGCTAAAGAATTTATTGCAAACATCAATTTTGCATAAATTAGCTTTAGTATTTACTGATTTATCGACGATTTCGTCATTTCCCCAAATTATCGTTATATGGGATGTGGGCGTTATATATACATTTGTATATATCTGTCTGGAGTCATTTTGGCTGTTAGAAACAACCGAGTATGAAAAGGACTGGAAATTCAAATACACTAAAAATTCACCCTTTTTTAATCAGTTTAATAAGAATGACTTCGTTCATAAAAAATATAACAGACTTAAAGAGCTTTATAAAGTGAAAATTTCAAACAAATGTTCGATTTATAAAGCATTTAAAGTCTTCCTTAATTCTTATGAATTGGGTGAATTATTGTAAGCGATTCACTGTCGAACTCTCGAAAAACGGGTTTGCGTCTCTAAATTTGGATGTCATCCTATTTCACTTTTCCAAGGGTGAATTTAAAACTTTAACTGTGTGGGTTGTACTACCTGTTAGAGTTTACAGCCACATCTTTCGATATTTTGAGTTCAAAGATAAATTTCACTGTTACGTAGTGTAATGAGTCATAAGGCATTCATATAAACTCGAAAAATGCCATTCATTGGCATCAGCTTTCCGACGCCCAAAGCTTAAAGGTACGATCGAATGAAGCCGTCACAATATGCTGAGAATTCGGGGAAATGTCTACGGCCATTATTTTTCCATCATGTCCCAATAAAGTTTTTAATGGTTGCCATGTTTTGTTTGACCATATTTTTGTAGTGCAATCGTAGGAAGATGTAACAAGAAAACTTCCGCCATCCCGCTGGTATTTAACGTCCGATATTAAATTTGTATGCGCAGGTATAGTGTAAACAGGCTGTCGGCGTCGCAAGTCCCAAATCTTGCATGTATTATCTTGCGAGCCGGTGGCTATGTGGAACCCATTTGGCGAAAAATCTACTCCGAAAATAGAGCCCAAATGACCTTCTAAAAACATTACGCAACGACCTGAAATATTTAAAAAAATCTTTGGTGTAGTCATTCATATTTCAATAAATATCGCTAGTTTAGACAGAAATGCTGCTAAGTCCAATTTCTTAAATTTCAGTGTCGAAAAAGTTTCTCAAAATCAGTTTCACGAGGACAATTTTGCATAGGAAATGGCAGAACTCGAAGTTAATGAAAGATGTAGGTGTTTCTTTGAGCTATAAGAGAACTTGTATCTTATTGTACATACTAATGTATCCTCAATAAATGGTTATGGAAATAGAAATTGAGATTTCATATTCAGCCATATTCTGAGATTCGTCCGAAAACAAATTCATCCGAAAATTTTTCATTCGCCAATTGTAAATACGCGGAAACGAAGTAACAAGTAATTTTTAAGTAAAAAAATACCGACTTCAATTCTCATATAAAAATTTAAGAGTGCCGTTAACTTATTCATGATCAAATTATCGAATCTAAACCAATTTAATAAGGGACCACCTCTGAGGTCCACATTTCCTTTAAAAGTATAATTATGGAAATCAGTTATCGTGGTCGAAAGTGATGCGATAACATACGTAAAAAAATAAAATAAAAATATTCCGACGAATTGGTAACCTCCTCATTTTTTAGAAGTCGGTTAAAATGTGAACCCGTTAGGGGAAAATGAAAATGATTATCTGTACATTTCGAAAACTCGCATTTGACTGGATAGAACAGGTACTTCGACCGACAACCGTTCCTACGACAGTCGGGTCTACGTAACCGGAACGACCCAGATTTATATTTGGCCAAGGACTGTCACTCCAGCAACACTCCCCAAAAACTCTTTGGGGAACTTGTATGCTGCTACAACAACCGACAACCGCTACAACAACAACAACCGTTCAGTCGGGACTACGTAACGGGAACGACCCAGATTTATATCTGGCCAAGGACTTGTCACTCCAGCAACACTCCCCAAAAACTCTTTGAGGAATTTGTATGCTATTACAAAAACAACAATCGACAACAACAAAAACAATCTTGGCCTTCCTAATCAAAATGACTTCTCATAAAAAGTTTACCAGCAGCTTTCTACTATAAACTAGCGATATGTATATATGTACATACATATGTGTGCAGGTAGGTATATACCAAGAATGATAGAATACAAGATTGCGTCGATTGCAGCAGAATTCATGAGAGTAATTTTGGCTTGACGTCACCGTAGAGTTGACAACTGAGAGCGGCAAATAAAACTGCTGTCTAGTGATGTGCTGAATTGTCGGTACCCAATACTTAAAATAGGTTTCGGTACACAATACCCAGTAGTAAGAGTTTCTCTGTATTATGGCCTCGAACCGACGTACATAAATCTTTTATTTGAATCAGTATTAAAAGCTCTACTGGCTCCTACATTCGGGATTTGATACGCGAGTCTCCTCTGAACCGTTTTTTCCATATTTTTGGCCTATGTGCGCTTTTATTAGAAACCTAAATGTTTCGGTACCGAGTATCGAGAGTATTGGATACTTAAAAGTATTGACTCAGCACATCACTACTGCTGTCATCTCGACTGTGACGTCGCAAAACAGCTGATTCTGTCAAGTTCACTGAGAGCCGATTAGCGGTATTGCCATCGGCGCAACTTTCTGTATTCTCTCCACCGTGGGTGCATACTAGGGATGTTACGAATATCATATATCGAATATTCCGTATTTTTGTCCATGAACAATTACTTACTCCGAACGCTGGCGTGTGGAGCGTACAAATATTTAAGAACCGAATCTGTAAATTTTTCGTATTTTAGTTTACACTCCCATGCTGTAATCCGTCGTAGATTCGATTTTGCTACGACTCGTAAAATTGGTATGCTGAAATCCGCGTTGTCGTATCGTAATTTCGAAATTCGGAGGCCTTCTTCGAAATTCGTAATGTTGGTATGCCCGAATCCGATGTAGGTTTTCGGAAATTTTTTGTACGAAGAGCAAGTGGCGTCGAAACGAAGCAAATTCTTTTAAAGTAGCAATAAAATAAAGTGTCTAAACGCAAAAATATGTGAGTTAAAGTGTAAATAGAAAAAAAATGGATTATTATTAAATATTTCCAGCATATCAGGTCGAAAATCATATCACATGGGTCGCAATTCGAGGCTTTGTATGTATGTATGTTTAAAGTGTATGTCAATGTTTTAGAGAACGTGGACTGCGCCAACCCCACACTAAAATCTTTTCCCAACACCATGTTGGTAGCTTCCTTGAGAGAAAAATCTCAAAACTGCCATCAATCTACCGATGATGATCTTACACTCATCCTCCATAATCATTAAAACGCTTTTAAATGCGTCTTCGTTGACGCTGAAATTTTTCACAAGCTAAATGGATCAGAACTACTAGCAATCTCTTTTGTATATCAATGCAACTGTTAGCTGCAGAAAATTCTTCCTCCGGAGACAAAAGTTCTCCAGCCACTGATTCCATTGTATTCTACTTAATTAAGGCAAATCTTTTTCAAATAACGACTAAGAATCTTTTATTAATTTCACCATTCACTTGCGATTATATTTATTTTAATCTGTTTCTGTCAAAGGAGCTGATTAAGAACTTCGAATTTCGAGCTTTTAGCTGGCAGTGCTGTTGATAAGTTACGTTTACAGCATACCAATTTTCGATTTATCGGAACATAAATACGAATTCGTAACTACGAAGATTCGGATTACAGCATAGTGTTTTCATCGAGAGGGGCTTTAATACCAAATTTTTAAAATTCCTGTTAGATTGCTTTTAAATCAGAACTAGTTGGAAGTTAACCAATGTTACTTTTTATACTCTTCAACCTTCTAGCGTCTGAACCTAAAAGCCAATTATTATAACCATCTTGGCTAGGTGGAATGTCGACGAAAAAGTAAAAAATTATGCAAATGATTCGCATAAACGAATGCGAATGAAAATATTCGAAACATACCTAGTATACACTATGACATCAAACTAAATTCGTTATACCTGTTCTTAGGTCCCACACACGCCCGAACGCATCCAATCCGCCGGTTACTATAACACTACCGTCCGTTTGGAAGCTTAGGCTATGAACCGCTTTAGCATGGCCTTCTTGATGCAAAACTTCTGTTTTCTGTTCTAAATCCCACAGTCGCCATGAGGAATCGTAGCATGCAGTTGCCAGAAATCGACCAGACGGGTGAAATCCAACTTTAGAAACTCGGTGTGGCATATGACCCGTTATATCTGCGAGTGATTCCTCAGAATTGAATCCCCATAACTTAACTGCTCCATCATGTCCTCCAGACGCCATTGCCACAACATTTGCATCCTCTTGTGATACACCTGATCGAAATGCAACGCCTCCTACATAGCTAGCATGGCCGCGAAGTGTTAACAATAGCTTGCAATCGGGCACTGTCCACACTTTACACAACCCTGACCATGACGACGTCAGTAGTAACATCGAATCTTCGCTAAAAGCTACTCCACTAACTGGGCGCGTATCTCCCACTTGACTGCACTGTGGTGCTAAAGAATGTAAACGCTTTTGAAGTTCAACCATACGCCCAGCACGAGTCGCGCTTGGTATATCCAATTGGGAGCGGGCATGTTCTAATCGTTCTTTTGCACGTGGCAATGAGTAGTCCGCAATCCAAATTCTTGCTATACGCAAAGCTTCTGGTCCTCTCGTGATACCATGTTGTTTCCTGTTCTTTTTGAAGTTGTTTTCGCTCCTCTTCTTCTGTCTGTTTTTGCTTTATTGCGTTCTCTCCCAAGCTGGCCAATAATTCCTTTAACCGCCGACCGTCTTTCTGCTGGCCCTTCACCAAAATAACATATTGGTTCATTAAGCTGCCGCAAATTGGCTTTTATCTCAGCATCGTCTGTGGAAACGTTTATTTGGCGTGCACGTTTTTTACGTTCAAATTCTTTGAGTAGAGCTTCCTTGTCCTTGGCTACTTCAGTTTCCAAGTCAAAGTAGTCATCATCGATCTTGTTAGCCAAAGCCCCTGAAGTAGGCGGCAACACAGACGCCGATGGTTTCTTTACTTCCTCATAATCTTCGTCAGAGTCGATGTCCTCAAGTTGATTCGTTACCCCACCAGAAATTGATGTAGATGAAATTGCCGTAGAGCTACCACCCGCAATAGGAGCCCCAGCTTGACGTTTTCTCTCGACTTCTTCCAGAGAACCATAATGTATTGTTCGTTGCCTTTTAACATATTGAAGATCCTCATCGTCGGACATATTTTTTTACAAATCTTAAATAAAACAACTTAACAAAACTGCATGAACCTATTTTATCAAAACCCAACAAAAGCCTTGAAATCTATCAGCGATTTCAGATAAATTACCGGCATCTGCGAGTGTCATCGATACACAGAATCTTTTCGATGCTATCGATATGTTGGCTACACACACGCAATGCATGATATAGGGCTTTCGCACGACCAACTTTTCAGGCCAACTTTTAGTTGAAAGCAAAAATCGCCTCGACCGAACGGCCTTTCAACTAATCGCTTTGAACAAAGTTGGTCTCCAGTCAACTTTTTTTCATTGCAACCCTGTGTTGTTTTTACATTCTGCATACATACTTTTTTCTTTTTTACTTTTTTACTTTTATTTTATCTTTCAGCTTCGCTAAAAGCACTTCTACCAATCGCTTGGCTTACCAAATTTACGCCAATTGATAAAATTTTGCGATTTAAATTCATTTTCAATAATGTAAATAACAACTTCTCATTCAACTTGGCATTCCACTCTTGTTGCCTGTAAAATCGCCTCTTGCGAAAGCCCTAGGATGGCAATGTTTCACTTTAGGGCATTCGCGCGAGGCGATTTTACAGGCAACTAAAGTGGAATGCGAAGTTGTATGAGAAGTTGAAAGTAGGAATGTTCGATGTTTAAGAAAGTATCGATATCATATGATTTAAAAAAATATGATTCATTTATAAACAATATACATATATATATATAATAAAAAAAATGTCTACCATACTTGGAGGTACAAAATTTTTGATTTTGATTTGCTGGTGAGAAGCTTGGAACCGAAATGATGGAAAGGCACATCTTCATTTTTAGTGATAGCCAGGCTGCAATCAAAGCTCTGAGCTCCTTCACGTTTCACTCAAAGATTGCGCTGCACTGCCGCGTATCTCTACAGGAGATAGCCAAGCAGAACAGACTTCACCTCACTTGGGTCCCCGGTTCATAGGGACATAGAGGGAAACTGCATGGCAGATGAACTTGCAAGGCAAGGCACGACCGAGGAGATTCTTCCTGGTAAAAGTGTGTTTGCATTGTTCAACTTTGCGTTCAACTCAGCGCAGGGTTGCACGAAAAAAAAGTTAAATGGCTAAAAATATCAAAATATGAAAAAATATCAAAATATTCGCCATAAAAACGTGTTTGCATTGTTCAACTTTGCATTCAACTTTTGGTTGAATGGCCTTTCAACTAATCGCTTTCAACAAAGTTGGTCGCCAGCCAACATTTAGAAATTCAACTTTTTTTACGTGCAACCCTGCGTTGAGTTGAACGCAATTGTTGAACGCAAAGTTGAATAATGCAAACACTGCTTTAAGAACGCATTGGTATGCCTTTTGCCAGTTGCAAACTGCTAATTAGTGAATTAGTTTATAAACAAGCTGAAGAAAGATGGAGTCAAAGTACGACTTGTCAAATTTCCAGGCAGACTTGGCCTAAATGGGACCGGAGGCGGTCACGAAGGGTTTACTCTCTTAGAAGGGAGGATATATCTAACGTCGTTGGGGCCCCAACCGGGCACTGCTTGATAGGTAAACATGCAGAAAAGCTCGGGGTGCCTTTTCGTAGATGTTGCAGAAGCAGGCTGCGTCATCTGGGTTCACCATTCCTGGCCGACCTTAGGGAGGTTTCAAATACCGATGCGATGAGTCTGATGAGATTTATCAGCGACACGAAATGGTTCAATGGGGAGGATAATTAAACGGTGTCAACTGTGGTAACACAATGGGCCTTCTATCTATGGCCTAAGTGTGCCTCTAGGGCGGCAGCCACTTCTACCTACCTACCTACCTAAGGTAACAAATGTGTGTGTAAAGGCTCTCACCAGTTGTCGATACTGAATTAAATTGAGGCAAAAGTGAAAAATATTTGAAATTGATACTGAATTATTTAAATTGATACAAATTATTACTAATAAAATGAAATAAATAATTGTTTTATATTTCCGGATTTATTGGATATTGGAAAATAAATATATGTACTTAGGTAAGTTTTAATTTTGCGAGTGCATAACCTGGCGGGTGCGCGTCTCGCTGCACTGCACTCGCGCCAATCGCAAAGCAAAATAAAGCCATTATGGCCTTATTGCGTATGGTGTTATTGCACCCCACCAACAGGGCCCTTTGGTGGAGTGGCAATTACTACAACATGAACCAAAAAATACAAGATCACGCCAGCAAACCGGTAGCCCGTTATAATCGCATTTGGGAAAAAAGTTGGGCTATTTTGACATTAGCCGTTTGTTTACGTTTGTTCGTTTGGTGGTGGATTTTTACTGGAAATTTCCTCATATTCGCTTGTGACAACGTGTGTACACATAAGGTAAAGAATAATTTAACACAGCGACATGATTTATAGAAGAATTTGTATAATATAAACGATTATTCATGCGTTCAACAATTACGTGGTTTTCATCGTTGTTTACTTCTTACAAAAAAGATGGCGGCGAGATTTCGACAGCTAGAAAATCACTTTTTTCTTTCTTTCATTAGCGCGTGATCTTGTGTCAAAGTGCTATATTGCATCTACGTTTGATAAGTAACTAAATCCAAGCAAATAAACACTATGGCTGAATTTCTTTATTCATTCTGAACGTTTGGAATAAACTTTTTTGTTTACTTATTCTTTAGAACGTTCCTGATGATATGTTAACGTATATTTCAAAAGCATTCTGTTTATTCCGGCTGTGAAATGGGATTATCCGGAATGTATAAAGAAACGCAGCCTATTTATTTGGAGTGTTTTGAACAGTTGTGGCATTTTGTGAGCAAAACCAACGATTTTTCCCCCATTTTGAATAGGCTCGCCCGAGAAGCACCGTAGACGGAGGAGAAAGAAAACCATATCATTGAACTCCTTGGAATTTGGTCTTTCAAGCTATAAAGGTTGGTGTTACCACTCCGCCTTAATTTTTTTGTACCAGCCTTGAACAAACAGATACTTTTCGGAACCCTACCCGGAATTTGGAGTACGGGATCATTTTTTACGTAACTTCCCAATAAACATTTAGATTGAGCTCAACTTGAGGTTAAGCTGAGAACTAAGGTATTTCTCAAATCTCTAACGTTGTTTCTCAACAGTACCTCAAGTGGAGGATCATAGCGTTCTCAACAAATGCTAGTTCTCAACTTGAAGTCCAATGTAATTCTCCAATTGGTCTTAAACATATCATTGAAATAGTGAAATTGAAATAGTAAAATACCTTATACCTCTTTGATTGAAACGACATACAAAGATGAATTTGAATATTAATTTTTCATTTTATTACTTCTTATGTATTATGTAGTTAAGCAAAATGGTATTACAATAATTCACTTCACAGTACAAAGTCCGACAGTAATTTTGCCACTTGATTCACTTGGCGTTTTATTTTCTTTTAAGATTATTTGAGGATATTTTGAAGATTAATTTCTTTTTGTTGGTAATTTTCCTCTTTATATAGCTTTAGTTTTTCACTTGATAATTAAAAATTAGTTTCTCTATCACTTTTTACGTATCTCAGGCTAACCTAATATTCGCGGCTTGCGTTTTGGTACCCACGCCGTCGAATTTGTTTTTTTGCGTCACCCGAAATTGGCTTGCGTCCGTTTTCATTTGATTTCATTGAGCGAAACGTCAAATCAAAATGTCACGCAGAACAAAAATTGGAAATTGAGTTAGCTTCATACGCACGCCGTTCAATTTCGGTTGGTCCCATACAAGTTGTATGTGCATGAGAAATTTTTGACAGTAAATTGGAATATTAGGTTAGCCTGTCTGGGCGTTTGTTAGAGATGAGTTGGAGAATGATGTTAGATATCAACTTGAGTACTATGAATTTCTCCAAGGTTGGAGAAATATTTTTTTAGTGTTTACTGGGTTACTGCAAGTTCGTGTTAAAACCTGTAAGTGCTCATTTACACACGGCGATTTTTGTTGCCGCAACTCGACATTTATACCCGGCAAAAATCGTTGGACCATGTAGTCTATTTGTGGTAAATTGGAGTACTTACAAAAGTGTTCCTCTGTCATGCTGTAGTGGACCAACTCGTGTCTCTGCGCCAGCTTATTGTTTGTTATCCGATCACTGCTCGTGTTTTAACGAAATGTGATTGAAGTTGAGCATTTGAAAGCACATTTGCATGTCTGGCTGTAGCTGAACGTGTAGAGATGCTCGCTGTTAGTTCTTAGCTCCCAGCATGTTCGGGTTCGAATGCCGTCAGAGGCAACATGTAATTTTTAATTTTTGTCTTGGTTTTTATTAATTTCGAAAAAGCATTTGAGAAGTGAAGAACAAAAGCGTGTACAAACGAAAAAATATAACAACAATGCCATTGTTAATATGTTGGAGTAGTTTTGTGCTACTCTGATGTAATGCAGGGATGGAGTATATGGTCCTGCCCTAGGACATCGCAATGTTAATTGGACCATATTTTTTATATGAATTGTGGTTAATTTTGGAGTACTCTTTGGTCCTTAGGGAGTACTCTTTACACGCATGCATGGAGTAGTCGCGATTTTTGCAGGATAGGAGCGAACGTGACAAGGAAAGGAGAGCGGCACCGAGTTGCTCGTCCTCGGGCAACAAGCTTTGTGCTCTCGTTCGTCTGTGTAAATTGAGTTAGCGGTTCTCACCGGACAACAACAATTGCATACACAAAAATCGCCGTGTGTAAATGAAACGCGCATCACCAAAAGGGATTGTGAAAAATCGCGTCGACAAAAGCTTCCGTGTATAAACACAGTCTAAGTTCGTGGAGTATTAGATCAGCTAATCTTGTCAATACCTGCAACGGAAATGTTGGCAGCTCTAGTACATTTGCACACCCTCACGCCGACTCATTCCCACACCCGTTTGTGCAGGAAGGTGTTAGAAAGAGATCACGAACCAGGCATCGAAAGTCGAAACTTCATTTTAATTTTTTTGTTCCATGAAAAAATTATACTAGACAAGAAGAAAAAAGGAGAAGTTAGTGAAAGAACATTTTAATTGCGATAAATAATCATATACAGATTAAAAGTGATCAAATTAAAGACAAGTGTAATCAATTTTTAGTGCGTTTATCCAAGGTAAGTTTGCTCGGATTAATTAAATGGCCGATATTTTGCTAGTCATCTAAAACGGCGTGTGAAAATCTGGAAAATCGGTGGATG